CTCATCATTATAGGGGCACCAATTTTTTTTTCTATTTGTGTATATATATGTATAATTATATATTTAAAATATTTATTAATTTTGAAATTTAAAATTTTAATTATTATGTTAAGTTAAATGGCACAATGTTTATGAAAAATGAGTTAAAAGATAGACAGATGATTTTTATTTAACATTGTCGTATTTCTTATTCCTAATTACATATCATATCAAGACATTTTTATTAAAGCAAGGAAAATGATTCAGATGGTTTAGGCTCCTTTATAGCTAATTTCAGTGAATCAATGTGTTGTGCTTAACTTTTTTCATGTATGGATTATTTCTTTATTAATTGTAGGCATTTGACATGGCATGATATGCAATTGCATTAGGTACTAAAGCTAAGAATAATATAATTGACTAGTTATAATTTTCTTATATAATATCTTGCTTTAAATAATGTCAAGGAAAAGGGAAAAGAGGAAAAAATATAATTCGTAGGAAGAAACATTTTGATGAAAATGCTACCGTAGAGGATGCACAATCACCTTAAGATTATTTCATATCCAATTATTTCATTTATTTATTAGATCGAGCAATTTGATCACTTGAACGAAGGTTTGATCAATCCAATTCATATAAAAAATTGGATTTCTATTTTCTTTTGAAAACTTAAATGCATTGGATGATGCTGATTTGAAAGCATATTATGATCATCTTGACATTATTCTACAACATGTAAATTTTTGTGATCTTGATGGAAAAGATTTGCTTCAAGAATTAAAAATTTTGCAAAATATTTTGCCAAAAGAAACAAAGACAACTTTTGATATATTAATTTATTTGAAATACTAAAAGAAATATAGATGATTTTTGGTATATTGACTTATTTGAAAAGATTGGATTGCTTTTTGAATACATCTATTGCTTATAGAGTATTACTTATAATTAATGTTACTGTTGCATCTGTTGAAAGAAAATTTGCAAAATTGAAGTTATTAAAATCATTTACAATCAACTATGTTATAAGAACGATTAAATGGCCTAACTTTGATATCTATTGAACAAGATTTGCTGAAACAAAATTTTAATTAGTGAGTTTGCTTCTAAAAATGCGAGAAGAAATATTTTTTATATAATTTATTACATTTCAAAGTTTACAGGTGGTATTTGATATTTCTGATTTCAAGTTTTTCTCATATGGAATTGCACGAAGAGTTTAGGAGCTTGGATGGTTCTTTGTTGATGACATGAATTTTGATGAAGTTTGGAAGATATTTTTGAACTTGATTTGTACTTTTCTTATTCACGACATTTAAAAAAATAAATTGTATTTAAATATCATAATTTTGCAATGATATAATATTATTGAAATATTTTTTTTTAATTTCATGAAAGGAGTACCATTTTTAAATGTCACATAAGGTATCCAAAATTTTAGGGCTGCCATTGCATTTAATTTAACAAAAAGAAGGTAGAAGATAAATTGACTCTCAACTCCCAATTGCACAATACGTTCAGTTCTAAACCCATTTAAGATGATTTACATTATAGATAATGCCTACTTCCATCTTTATCTTTTCCGAGTACCTGAAAAGATGTGTCATGCAACCTTGACCTTGAGGGGTTGCTCAATTGGTCAAACCTTGGGTTTGCTGTCCAATGGTTATCAGTTCGAGTCCCCTCAGAGCAACTGAAGTGAGTACCCGACCGTAAGCTTCAGGCCCCGTGGGATTAGTCGATGTGCGAGCAAGTTGGCCCGAACATCCACAGTTAT